GAATCGTACGGTGTCGAATAATTTGGTGTCGAATAAATCTGTGTCGAATCGAGCGGTGTCGAATCGTACTGTGGTCAAACGGAACACGCCCCTTGAACGGTGTATCCGTCCTCGACCGGCTCGATATTAGCATTTTCAATATTCAAAACTATTTGAATTAAACTTTCTTTAATACCATCGTCAAAATCTATTTTATGGTTATCTAATATTTCTTTTAATGTTTCAGGTTCTACATCCTCCACGCAAAGAGGCAAAATTGGAAGTAAGTTTTCTGACGTTTTCGACTCAACATTGTCCTCACGTTTTCCGGGATAACATAAGGTAAATCCTTCGTTTCTTATAAATTCTCGACCAAGAATCAAATCGCTATTAAACGCATATTCTTTTATCACATACAATTCAACACATATTTTATTATTTTTCAGACAGCTTATCGCTAATTCGACCGGCGCAATACCAACGACGTTCAGAGGGATGTTTTTTATATTTACAAAGGCTCTTTTTGACGGAACAAGATTTTTTACATAAGGTGAGATAAACTTTTTATATATATTATATTTAACAAAGGAGACGGGGCTTCCTGTATCTAACATAGCAATTAAATTACAGTTTCGATCGCAGATTTTCTCTACCTTCACCGACGGTTCGGAAAACTCCACCTTGGTGACCTTCTCGCTCACCAGGGCTACCTGCTCGGCTTCCGGTTCCACTTCAGTGACTGGCACTGCTGTTGAGACTGGCTTCTGGTGTGAAAACTGCGAAGATTTTCCACCTTTTGCCTTGAGCGACGGACAATCGTATTGGCGATGTCCCTTCAGTTTGCAGTAGAAGCAGGTAGTGTCGTTTCTGCACTCCTTATGGCTGTGACCTTTTTTACCGCAGTTTTGACACACGACATCCTTTGATTTACCGGCAATTGTAGCACTTAGTTTTTTATCCCCTTGTTCACTTAGCCCTCCCGTTACACACCGCATTTTTTTCAGAAAGCACTCCAGCGAACTGTCTGCCACTAGTAAGGCTGAAGCCTTCACAGTACTATTCATGATGCCGCCAATTAATAAGTGAATAGTGTCTTTCTCTGGCAAATCAAGCTGTTGTATTAGAGCTGACTTTTCAATCGCGTATTTGTCAAAGGTTTCTTTTGATGGTAGCCACTTTCTCGATTCCACTCTCTGCATCACTTTAAAAAATGGCACTTCACGTTCAAATATCTTTAACATTTCAGCTCGTAGGCCGACCCACGACAAAACAGCTGCTCCTGACTGGGCCTCGTACCAAGTCTTGGCAAACTTGACGAGCTTACTCGAGGCCGCCAATAGAGTAACTGCGTCTGACGCTCCATGAACTCCGGCAACCTGGTCGACTCGTCTCACCCAAAAGGTTATGTTCTCTTTATCTGAGCCGCCAAACTCAGGTATTTGCGTGGCTAGCCATGACACCGAGTTTCCAGGTATGTGAGCGTCTGTATTTCCCACAGGTCGGGTTTCTACCGGTGGGGTCAGTGCCGATGAAGCCCCGGACCCATCTTCTATTTCAAGCGGCTGTACTTCGACGAGGGCGGTTAGGGGGCGCCCCCCGTTTTGATTCGACATCAATTGCACCAACAGCTGCATTGTTTGTTGTTGCTGACGCATCACTTCCGTCATTTCCCCCAGGGCGGAACGTAATGCAACTGCAGTCAACGGCTCCTCCGGCTCATTTACTGCTCCGGCTTCCGACTCCGATCCGCTCAGGGTTTCTTGTCCGAAACCCTGCGCGTTTTGTCTCTTGATATGCGATATTATCTTTTCAATAAGATCAAATTTATCATTCGAAATTGGTATTTTATATTTCTTCCCCTCGGCCTGTACCCTCTCCAAGGTCGCTTCTTCCAGAGCGACACGGCTCATCACGGACCGAGTGCGTGTCATTATATTTTGATCCCTTTGTCCGACGTNAGATATTTATATTTTTTTTCGGTCACCTTCAATTACACGAAGGCAGCGAGTGTTCAGAGCTGTTCACGTGAACAGGCTCACTGACTGTGACCTTGCGGACTAAACCGTGAATCTGTATCCCACTTCTGATGGTTATAAGATTTTTCCGAATAAAAGTTTTAATAATAAAGATAATTGACCAGTACCGACGTTGTTTGCCTATTGATTCGCTGGAAGAGATGATGGTCAGAAGATCTGCTTAATTGCGGCAAAGTCTGATACGACGTTCGAATACCAAGCAATGTGTGATCACGTGCACAGCTGACTCTTACACTATTGCGTGTTCACGTGCACAACCGATTGTTTTATAATACGACTCCGGTTTATTATTAAAGCGACGGATATTAAATAATAACTTTCACTGTTTATTACAGGGATTGTATATATATATTTTAAACAAACTAAATACAGCACTATTACAAATGACTATATCAACCGACTTGATTTCGACGCGACTCTCAGGTTACACGTCTGTATCGCAACCCGTTCCTGAGGAGAGTGTCCTCGCCTCAATTCGCCGGAACAACCGGCGCGCACCGCACGCATGATTTACGCCGATTCGCTAAAATTCGGCTACACGCCAGAGCGCGCGACTAATCGGTTATGTCACCCGACAAGTGGTGCCCTCGCGCTACCGATTTCTTACATGAAAAAGACAAATTCATCAAAAGCAGCCATTAAAGTGAAACTGAATAAGGATGAGTTTCTGAAGTGTTGCATGGAAATTGTGACTGTAAAAAATATACCGTTAAGAATTTTTGGCGACAATTATTTTTTTAAAAGAATATTTGAACCTTATGAAAAACGGTTTTGTGTTATGTTAAATTCTAAAAATATTGGAATCTTAATTGAAAAAAGTATCGATGAAATTAAAAGCATTATAAAGAAAAATGTGAAAAACAAACTGGTGTCTCTTAAAGTTGACGTCGCCACCCGAATGGATAGAAAAATATTGGGAGTTAACATCCAATACATCAAAGACTTTAAGATTTGCATCAACACAATAGGTATGATCATTGCTTTTATTAATACATCTCTTATTAAACAGTTTTACTAGCTGTATAGTTATTCAGAGTATGGTTGACAAATATCAAAAGTTTTCTTTTTCTATCAAATTGAATGTATATTGCGCGTGCAAAATTATAATTTTGTCGGAATTTCAGACAATTTCAACGACTTTCAAAATAAAAAATTAATTTCAACCAAAAGCCTTTGTCCACAAATTACGTAAGCATGATTGTCATCTGTTCCTTTGTCATATCAATTCAGATCTGACTTTAAAAGAAAAAAGCAAAGAACAAAGATTCTAGCTTCACAAATTTGTTTTCTGTTTGATTTACCAGGTATGGTGCATTTAACAACCAGACACACAGGTATGTTATTAAAGAAAAAAATCTTAAAATGTCTTCAAGCCTTTGATATCGATATAACGCAATTGTATTCATCGACAATTGACAATGGATCGAACGTGATAAAAATGTCAGAGTTAATCAAAGAACAGCAAGAAAAAGAAATTAGAAACGACGACGATCAAGACGATCAAGACGATCAAGAAGAATTGAATATCGTATCTGAAATTGAGTCAGTCTTCTCTGTTGTAAGGTGTGCTGCTCACACATTATAATTAGCAGCTTACGATGTCATCAAAACTATCGACACTGAGATCAATGAATGTAGAGCTGTGATTAAAATATTGAGAACACGTATAAGATCTGATCAGATTGATCTCAGCCTGCCTACATTGGATAACGCAACGCGATGGAATTCAACTTATTTAATGATAAACTCCTTATTTTTAATGAGATTCTCTATCAAAAATGATAAAGAATGCAGTTTCGTCAATCTAGATTGGAATTTCATTGAAAAATTTGTTATGGCTTTGAAGCCTTTGAAGCAGTGTACACTTGAACTACAAAAGGAGCAATATGTACTAGAAAATTTTTACCGAGATTGGCTAACATGCGAATTAGAATTAGAAGACATGATACCATCAAATCCTTATGCTGTATCTCTTAGGGCGGCTATGGAAGATCGGAAGAAAAAGCTCTTGAGTAACAATGCTTTTGTGGCTGCATTTTACATAGATCCAAGATTTAACTTTAATGGATCATCAATCCTATCTAAAGAACAAAAACAGACTGCAGTGGTATGAATTTCAATTCAACATTGAAGGAAGGTGAAGGAACTCATTGATCTTACTCTCTTTTGATCGTTTTGCTTTTCAGACTCACTTGCTCAATACTTTCACGAGTATTAAAAATTTGGAAGACCCTTTACATTCCGAGTTGGAAGTAAGTACATCGCGAGTACATCGAGATTGGATCTATCAAACTCTTCTATTACTCTTGATACGAAAAAAGATCGATACAAAAAACTTCGAGAGGCCATAGGAATAAGTTCCATCATTCATACAGCATCGCCATGCAGAAGTATGAAACAAAAACTAATAATGTTGTCCAAGAGTATGAGAGTACCCATTGAAAAAAACATTCTCCAATACTGGAAACATCATAACCAAGATCAGGATCTAATACAACTTGCTGGAGTTGTTTTAGCAGTGCCAGCAACTCAGGTGTCTGTTGAAAGAGCATTTAGTGCTCTTTCTACAATCCTAACAAAATTACGAACAAGATTGTCTAACAAGACATTAGAAAACATCTTACTCGTGAAGCTGAATTTTGAATTAATGAAAGAGATTTCATTGGATTTCTTTGAAAATAAAGATATGGAAACGTAACTTTTGTGTGCTTATAATTTGATAATGCTTTTTTTAAGAATAAATAATATTAAATGTGATAATAATAATATTAAATGTGATTATCGATTCNAATCAATTAAACATTTAATTTTTATTTCCTTTACCTTCCAATTTCCTTTTACTTATTAGATTCTGCTCCTTTTTATTCTTGTAACTTTTCATTGTTTAATTTAGAATCATATACGACCCACATATGATCCATATAAATCATAAATTATATAAATAAACATTGAAAAAGCGACTGCTCACATAAAACTGATAAACATATAATCTACAGCATATCTATTCACAAGTCAGGTTATCGATTCAGTTCTTTTAGATGAAGGTACGATCAGTACGTCTCTTTCGGGTATACTACTGTGATCAAAAAGTAAGGTGAATTTGTTTATAAGATGTAAATTTTTTATTTATTCATCCAAATCAATTTCATCCCCTTCAAAGTAATCCCCCCCCCCCAGATACAATGCACTTATGCCAACGCTTTTTCCAGTCCTCGAAACAGTCGGAATAGTCTTTTTTTGATATAGCCTTCAAGACCTTCTTCGATTCGGTTTTTATCTCCTCAATCGTGTCAAAACGGCGTCCCCGCATTGGCCTTTTGAGTTTGCTGAATAGCCAGAAGTCGCACGGAGCCAAATCAGGCGAATACGGTGGTTGC